AAGTCGATGATCCAACAATGTCGTATACATTGCGTGAGACAATATATATACATAGAAATAGATCCTCATGGTGCAAAATCTATATTATATGTAAATATCCTACTTCATTTATATACCTGCAACTTTGGTTAAAATCCAACAAGGTATATATAGTTCTTGAAAGGGTGTAAAAGAACAAAAGTACCAAATTCAGTGACTTGTAATTCTTACATTAATTTATGCATTATGATTTAATAAGATGTAGATCTTCCTAATTTATAATTTGTTTCGAATGATTATAGTTTTCATTTTCTGCGAGGTGCTTTTAATGTTAGATGAGCATATTTTATCATAACTATCAAGTTATGGTATGTGACAACCGAACACACAAGACCTCCAAAGGCATTCAAAGTCTGTGGTCGTCTGATAACTTAATCTAAGTTATGTAATCATAATAATAATGGCTTTATGTTAACTTAATTAATGAGGTATAGCACCTATATGAAATATATAAGATTTCTTTTCTTATGTTTTGGTTAACTTTTGCTTAATTTTGTATATATTTTTCCATTTGTTTTTTTCTTCGTTTAACAACAATTATAAAGTACTAGATGAATAGTTTAGTTTATTCTTACAATAGTTTAACTCGTGGACTTAAAAGGATGAATTTTCATTATGTGTAAGACCATCATCATTTCAAGGTTTGGTTACTCTTTGTTAAAATGTTATATTTTGATGAGCTAGTTGAATAAATAATAAAGGTATAAATAGCTTAAAATAAAGAGTAAAAGTAGTAATTAGGAATAACAATCTTACAATGACCGACGAGATGTTAGAAGAACCACCTCAACAAAAGGCAACATCTTTAGAAATTCTAAAGTGAAGAAAACTTTGAGTTATGATTCTCAATTGATTAATTTTCTAATGCTTTTGCCATTATGTGCATTGAGTGTTATTTAAATGGGTTATTGGTGTAAATTTAAACGTGAATTAAATTATTATGGTTGAACAATGTTAGCTAGTTCGGCTACGTTGCAACAGAGTTGAGTCATAGTTCATTAAAGGCTAGCAGGCTGGGAACAAACGTTGGCGTTCTAAATGGCGGGAGCAAATAGTCGACGTGTCTGTGGTGTAAGGCCGACGTGGCCGTGGTGGTTCCGAATTCTTGGACCGACGTGGTCAGGAATGTGGAGTGGGTTGTGTGCCTATATGTTTAACATATATTGGGTGTATTTCGATAGATAGCACTGGCGGTGACTAGCCTTGCTAGAATTGTGGTTTGGAATTTGTGGACTAAGTCGTGCATATTTTATTCCCAAATAAAATATTTATCAAAGTTAGGTGCATAATTGTATATCTGGTTCCGTCACTAAAAAAAAATACATTGTATCACTTAAATTGTATTACAAAATGGAATAAAGCTATTTTAACAAAATTGACCATCATTTACCACCTAACCATTATTATTCTCTATATATACATGCAATTCCCTTAAAACCAACAAGGAAATGCAAATTTGTCATCATGGTTGATTTTTCACCTTAAAATTTGATACAATTTAAAGAAAAAAAACTAGGAAAAACAATTTAGAAAGATATTTAACAAACATTACCTTACGTCTTTCCTATAATGTTTGAAGAAAACATAAAGTCAATATAAAGATATCTTCTTTTTTTCTCAAGAGATTCCTAGTGGAACGGAGAAAGATAATACCAAAACAGAATATCAAATACAAAAGCTAATTTGGACAATCAGCTTCAATATTTACAAAAGACCATAGATATTGAGAAGTATGGTTTTACGAGCTACACGACTGATTTTAAGGGATGTGCGTGTACAAAAGCACTAAGATTCTCTACTGCTTAGCTCTCTTTACGACTTGTGGATCCATTCCCTCAAAGAAGGGGGTGTGAACAGTAAACCCCTTACGTCTCAAATTTGCTACATATCTAACATTAAAAAATGGGTCATTCGACACGATAAGGAAGCTTGTCGTTTTGATGGTTTTGGATCGTTCAGACAGTGCACGCTGCCATGTTTGCTGAAGCAGCTCCAGTTCACAAAGACCTGTATTTGGTGGTATCACGGCAATTTTTTTTACATTCCACAGAGAAGAGTTTTCGGCTAGAAAAAAGTTTGACTCCTTTGATTAACCTATCCAGCGTCATCACATGTGTCTTGTGTACCGCAGGAAGGCGCACATCATCCCTCAGTCCATAAGAGAGAATTCGGGTGCAACTGTAGCTCGTGTTAGTGTTCAATTTCAATTTCTGTGTGATGGTATGTTCAATTGAATGCGGATTCAAACGTTCATTCAACCAAACTGTCTGTAGATCAAGAACCATGACTAAGCTCTTCGGATCCTCAACCTGCCTAGGCTGCTTCTAATTGGAAACTTTTTTAGGATACTGAAAACCATCAGCATCAACATAAAGAGAAGACATTACTGTGAACATTTCAACAAAACACTTTGCTTTGAATATTTATCGTCAGGGGAGAATCGGGCTGGATGGGCAGATTCAGTGGCTAACACGATCGATGATTCCTTCTTAGTGGTGTAAACCTTCTAACCCTAGTCGTTGATATAGGACTAAAGATACATCGTCGTTTGATTTCAGTTAATCCCTCGCAAGAGTGCTTTCTGCTTCTCAAGTTTCTGAGACGAATTAGATAAAGATATCTAAATCTCTAAAATTTAGCGTAAATAAATGTATGTTTCCTATTATTACTATATATTTGGATTAAACTAAATTCTAAAATAAAAATTTTGAACTAAATCAACGTGGGATCCCCAAATATTGCTGTCATTATTTAAATAGTTGTACACAATGAAAATAGGTAATAAAAATATTGTTTTCTTAATTAAATGGAAACAAACAAGGTTTGTGCCTATTTTGACAATTTTTTTTAAACGTAATTTTGGAAAATATAAATTAATCATGTGTAATCAGTTATCTCTCTAAATCTTATAAAGATACACAAGATTTTTTTCAATATATATGAAGCCGTTTCCATTTTTTCCAAGAAAAAAAGTTCTTAAGTTTCTTAATTTCTTTCATTCTCTTTTACTTGCTACTAAGTTAGATCTCTTATTTAAGATTTTTTTTGGTGTGTAGAAACATCTACTAAACCTTGGATCGTTGGTCACAACATCAATTTGTATGAAGCTATCACTTCCTATATTAACAATGAGAAAGAAGTATAAAGGTAAGTCAATGCTAATCTAAACATGATTTTTATATTGGATGAAAATGAAAGATGGTTTTAGTTAGTATACATTACGTAATCTGTCAATGCAAATTAAATAACTTTTGCTATTTATTATTATGTATATGATATCTTTGTTTTTGTCGACAATACAAATTCATTGGTAAAGTCCAGAGGGCAATTACATAAGGGCTAAGCCCAAGAAGGATTACAAGCGAAAATTAACAGCCCAAAACACTAAATCATATTTAATTAATAGATAATGTTAATCAGAAAAATATGATTTAGCAATCAACACGTGGTCTTTTCTCAGCCACACATCATCACATCAAGCACCACCGTCAACCTTCGCCGGACCGTTGTTGAACTCCGATTAGCCGACGCCAATCAGCCATGAACGACAAGAACCCTTTCCCCTTCTGCCGATCTCAATCACCATCGATTAGATGCCGTAGTCAGATGTCGAATTGATCCTTTAATCCACTTCATAATTCCTCCGAAAAACACCAAATCTGGGGAAGCTCCATCACCGTTACACCCAAATAATGATGTAGGCTGAGATCCAACTTTTCTCATGCGTCTTGAGTAAAAGGAGAATGACGAAGATATTACTCCTCGAGAAATTGGAGAAAACTGAGAAAATTTAGAAGAAAACTGGAGATCTCGACAAGAATAAGCGCAGATAAGAAAGAGATCAAAAATTGCAAAACAAAAGATAGAACCGACTTATAGTCGGAACATATCAACCGGATCAGGCTGAAAACTAACCGGATCTAGCCGGATATAAACATAGATCTAGGACTAAAGATACATAAAACGAGAAGAAATAAAACATATATACATGCCGGACCGACGATGAGGCTAAAAGAACACCCACCGCCGGTCGGAGAACCAACTTAGATCAGAAAAGTTTACACAACTTTTTTAGAGAGAAATTTTTTAGAGAGAGAGCCTATATTATCTTTTTACGTAAGAATTATGTATATGATATCTTATCGATGATGAAATCAATTTCTACAGGAGAATCAATTTTAGAAACGGAGAAAGTGAGACTAACGAAGAAGATTAAAGGAAGTAATAAGATGATTGAAAGAAACTATTTGCAAATTCTATCTCAATACTTCAAGAAGAGGAGAAGATCCATTTATTAATATGTTTTCTTTTAAATTAATCTCCTCTTTTTTTATAAAAGAAAAATTGTATATAAAATTTTTTTGTTTGATT